TGTATAAATTGGAGCAAATTGAACATGAGTAACTCAGAATCATCTCCATATGCCCTTCACTTGCTTGGTTCCTGCCCATTATTTGTTTCCTCCATTCTCTGTTCCCTCCAGTAAGAGAAAAATCAAAGGAAGCACAAAGCCCGAGTGATATGACCCTCATTGCAGGTTCTTTTGAGAAAAATGAAGATCTTTATTTTTTTTTTTTCCTAGTTCAATTAAACTATTTCAAACTCATGTGATTGGTAGATTGCTTATAACTATCAACACCACTCTACCCAGGTACTTTCTCTTTCAGCAAACCTTCAAGACTCTCCCAGTCCAGGTCAGGTGTCAGCCTCTGGGCTTTTTCCAACTTCTGCAATGATTGTGTTATACAGTAAAGATCACATCTCTCTCATTTGTCTTCTCCTGCTAGATATCTGGCACCTTGGAGGATCCTGCTGTTCACACCTAGAACAGACTCACAGCTCAACAAAAGCTAGGTAAATGAATAAACGAGAAGGCCCACAAGTTAGAAAAAGTGGTCTGGGCTTAACTGTGTTAAGTGATCAGCTGGATTCCACTCTGTGATAACATGTCAGGGAGAACTGTGATTGCAACGTTTCTGACCTGGGGCAGCAGAGTTACTCCGATGAATTTAAAAAGTCACTTCATTCCTGATAGCCAGTCAGAGGCACTTACTGCTCCCTGCCGTACTTAGTCATTTGTAAACTGAATTTCTGTATAATATCACTCAAATAATATGTTTCTTTTCTTGAACGTTTGACATGGCAAAAAGTGCCCCCTACTGACACCACCCCCACCCCGCCCCGGCAAAAAAGTTGAGCATTTATAAAAAAAAAGTTTGTGTTACTTCTTTTTCTATTTTTGTAACGATATGCTTTAACATGTACTGGACTGGCCAAAAGGTTCACTTAGGTTTTTCTATAACATGTTATGGAACAGCCTATGGTAAAATCCAAACGAAATTTCTGGCCAATCCAACATTTGTCTTTGAAATAGAATGCTAACTATAAAAAGCTCTGGGTAGGATGAGAAACTGTCTCAGTAATGAAAGGAAAGAGTTTCAAGATCACAAGTATATTTACATTTTACTCTGAGAGAATGAGAAATAGATATGCAGGGATAATATTCTGTTATCAAGCCCTAGTCATAAGTGGAGCTTGCTGCAAATAAGTGTTATTTCATAGTCGTAATCATGAATGTTGACACGACCATCTCTGTGCTGTGTGGTATATGAGTACATAAACCTGTCTGCACATTACCAAATCCTGTGATTCGGAATACAAAAGGTCTTTCTATTTTTGCCTGCTTTTCATCTCCACTACCTCTGCCCAAGTTCTGATGTATACAACTCTTTAAAATAGAGATTTTTGGATTTAAAAAGGGGCTCAACTATTGTAAAAATAAAGGTAATACACACATGTATCCCCTGCTTTCCAAAAGTTCAATTTATGCCACTTCTTTTTATAAAAGATCTACGTTAGGACAGGCTTTTTTCCTAAAAGCAAATGTCCTCTTTAGGTTTCTTTTGGTGAGCAAAAACAGGTACTAACCTAGGAATTTCAGGAAAGCAAAGAACTGTAAATTGAACTTTCAGAAAATGGGGAGTACTCTTCAGCTTCCTCTATTTCGATTTACCAAAGACTTCATTGGAGAGCTCTACTTGTGGATAGTGGAGGAAACCTGTATATAAAAAGATATCTTTACACTTGATCAACCAGAATTTAGGCTTCCCAGGTGGTGCATGGGTAAAGAATCTGCCTGCCAATGCAGGGGACGCAAGAGATGAGGGTTCAATCCCTGGGTCAAGAAGATCCCCTGGAGAAGGAAATGGCAACACACTCCAATAATCTTGCCTGGAAGATTCCATGGACAAAGGGGCCTGGTGGGCTACAGTCCATGGGGTTGCAAAGAATCAGATATGGCTGAGCATGCACACACACACACACATAACCATAATTTACTACGAGAACTGGCTTTGTGGCCATGTGACCTGGGCATTCACATAGGGTCTGTGTATATGAGGGTCCTGTACTTGCTTTCTGGCTCTGCTTTTGCCTTCTCAAAATTTGTAATAATTATTGACCACAGGGTCCCGCATTTCCATTTTGCCCCCAGCTTGGCAGTACATATGGCCAATCCTGTCACCATCCCACTCTTCCCCAACCCCCTTGCACTTACGTAATCACTCTTAAGGCTTGTTACCTCCAGAAATTTTCTGTGTATGTAAGCATGGAGGCATTAGGTTTTACGCTGATGGGATTATTCTATACATATTCTTTACTTTCTTTGCCTCCTCAGTGTTGATGATGGAATTTTTCCATTAAGCAGCCTCTGCCTCCCTGGCACCCACTCCCATTTCTTCCTCTCCGCAGGCACTCTCCATACTGCTTGCAGGATGGTTTTGCTAATTCTGGTTGTGCCCTTCTGATAAAAATGTACATATTTCCCTGTTGTGTATAGAGTAAATTAGCATTCTGGTAAACGAAACAGACCAGGACACTAATTTACCTGGAGCATGGTCGTAGCATTAGGACCATGGTCAGTGTGCTGGTGAATTTGAGTTTCTAAGCTTGCATGTCTGAAGGACACTTCTGCACCCAAACAGTCACTAAGAGAAGCCCTGGCTGGTCTGTCTGTGTGGGGATCCCCTGATCTGAACTCATACCTTTATTTTCAGTTTTCGTAACACCATCTCAAACAGGTAAGAAGATCTTCCCTTTTTCCTACCATTACTTTGTAGAGTTGCTGATAATTTGCCTTGAAATGAACAAAGGCAGCATTGTGGTCTTCATGCTTGTGTCCTCCTGAAATTCACTTGTTGAAACCCTAACCCCATCCCGCCCTCAACAGGTGACAGGACTAGGAGGCGGAGCCTTAGGAGGTAATCAGCTCTGTTATTGTTTAGTTGCTCAGTCGTGTCCGACTCTGTGCAACCCTCTGGACTGTAGCCTGCCAGGCTCCTCTGTCCCATGGAATTCTTCAGGCAAGAATCCTGAAGTGGTTTGCCATTTCCTTCTGCAGTGGATTTTCCTGACTCCTGATTCAGGGATGGAAACCTACTCCTGCATTGCAAACTGATTCTTTATCATCTGAGCAAGGCAGCCAACAAAAAGCCAGGAGGCAGAGTCTCACCAGAACCCAACCATGCTGGCACCCTGAGCCTGAACTTCCCAGCCTCCAGAACTGTGAGAAACAAATGTCTATTTAAGACACTCAGGCCAGGGTAGTTTAAGACAGAGGGAAGAAGGTGTTTCACTTTTTACAAAGTTTATAAATCTACAGCATGGTATTAGATCATAAAGATGCACACTTTTTTTTTTTAAACAGATGAACAAAATAAGCCTGAGAAACAGTATGTCCTGTCCAAAGCCACAGACTTTAGTGATGAATTTTAACATCTACTTTCAGTTTAATATATGGTGACATCTTGGAATCTTCTTGAAAACTCTAAATTCTGGGGTCAGAATGATATTCTGAAAAGGTGTGAAAAAAAAGATGTGACTTCTGGGCACCCCCGGTGGCTCAGACAGTAAAGAATCTGCGTGCAATGCAAGAGACCCAGGTTCAGTCCCTGGGTTGGGAAGATGTCCTGGAGAAGAAAATGGCAACCCACTCCAGTATTCTTGCCGGTAAAAGTCCATGGACAGTGGAGTTTGGTGGGCTACAGTCCATGGAGTCACAAAGAGTCAGACATGACTGAGTGACTAACACTTTCACTTGGAATCTTCGTGACCACTATAAATTCTGAGGTCAGAATGATATTCTGAAAGGGTATGGAGAAGTCTGACTTCTTAAATTAGCAAGTATTTTCATTGCTTCCAGTCCTACATTTCTAGGATATGGAGTTTGAATTGTCCAGATTGGTGGTGAAAACTGCCTAAATTGTGCCAGCTCACATACATCTATATGATCACAGATGAATTAATCTCTCTGAACTTCAATATTCTTAAGTAGAAAACAGATATAACAATATTTACTGCACAGATTTATGAATAGGAATAAACAAGATTTTAATGTATTCATTTACTTAACAAATATTTATTACGTGATCATTATGTATCAAATTCTTGTCTGGAGAATTCCATGGACACAAGAGCTGGTGGGCTACAGTTCATGCAGTTGCACTACGGTCCACACAGTTGCAAAGTCAGACACAACTGAGTGACTAACACTTTCTTTTTCTTTATCATTCAGAGAGCATCTTTAAAAAGTTGGTTTTTGAAAACAGTCTTGCCTGTGTGTGAGAGCTTACACATAGTTTGTAAGGAAATGTCCATCTAATTAAAAACTACTTTAAAATCTGGAGAAGGATTACTTACTTCACGTTACCCAAGCATCTCAGTCTATTCGCCCAGTTTGCACTTCCGAGAACTCTGCCGGAATCTACCTAGTCAGAGTGCGCCTAGCAAGGAGACACCACATGTCCAAGAAACCAGCTTAGAAGCCGCACTAAAGGATAAGCAGTCTAGCGAGGTCCACGCGAGACCTGCCCGGGAACGTGAGAGAAGATCAGGAAGGTTAGCATGTGAAAACAGTGTCATGCCTGGGGTGAGCTGGAGCAGAAGTCTTACATGCAGAAACACTCCACTGCCTGTCTGAGCCACAGATGGCCATTTCAACTGCAGTGCCTTGTGAGAGCTGCAGTTGACAAGGCCAGCTGCTCGGAACCACCAACTGTCAGTTGATGTGGCCAGCTCTTACCCATGTGTGCTGAGAAAACCAGCATGGGATTGGGTCAGCACAGGACATGATTTTAATAGCCTCAATCTGTCAAGTAGACTTCTTTGGAGACAATGAAACAATTGAGCATTTTGAGCAAGAATCCTTAAGGCTCTTCTATGATAACGCATCCATTCAAAAAGTCAAACTGCATCCAGTTAGTTGTCCTTTGCAGACTGAAGGAGCAGGCATGGGTCTAGGAGATACAATTGTGTGGTCCTCAGTTCTGCAGGCGGCATACATGAAAAGTCTCCCCTGAAGAATCCAGAACCTACCTTCCTTCCTCCCAGGCACTGCTGGAGTTGAGGCTTGGTCAGGACACCGTATTGGCAGTGGTGGGGCTGCCAAGTGACTTCTCTCCAGTCACAGGTCCTGTTGTCTGAACAACTAAGGCAAGGCACGATCCACTGGCCTGAAACAGACAGCAAAACTTCTTTGCCGCAGTTTCTATGGGTGAAGTTACAGTTTGCAAGAAAGTCTAGAATTCAGTGATGGATGGCACACCATTACAGAAATCACAGTGAGGAGACCACACTCATATAAACCCAGGGGAACAGTGCATGGCTTCCTGCCAACCAAACAGAATCACATCAGGTAGTCATGTTCTGAAATAACGCAGTTTATGCTGAAGACAAGTACGAATTCTGTTCTGTGAAAACACATGCTTATAAAAAAACTAAAGTGTTTGGGTACTACTCAATTGCTATTTATTTTCAAACAGTACATGAGGTCTTTCACAGGACTGAAGTCTATAGGGAGTCACTGACACTGATGTAGTTGGCCACACATATTTCCTAGCCTAACACATGCTTAGTTACCAATCCAACAATAATCATATTCTCTGCTATCAAGAGCTTCAATATATAATAAGACAGTTCTTTTAATATTCGGGTAATTTACTGTTTTGAAGAATAGTCTTAATTTGATATATGGCCTTTTTGCTGTGAATCTCTTCACTTCTTTCTAGCTCTGTTGCCTTAATTTTTTCATCTGTTAGAAGAGGAGTGTACTATTTTTCTCACACGATTGGTATGAGGATTTAATGGGATAACATAGTTAAAGCACCCAGCACAATTACGTATCCTACTCACCTTTGTTACTAGCTAATTTCAGGCACAGAGTAAGGCATAAGCTTTGGCCAATGTTTGTAAGATAAATGAATATCCTTAAAAAACTGCATGTAAGAGCTTTCTTATTTTATGGATAAAGTAACATGTATTCAAATGTTGCAGCTTTTAGGGTGAGTGGACACATTAATAATTTATTAGAAAATATCAAGACATAATTTGGATTTTTAAAAATAATTTTAATTATTTTTGGCTGTGTTGGGGCTTCCTTGTTTTGCTGGCTTTTCTCTAGTTGTGGTGCCTGGGTTTCCCATTGTGGCAGCTTCTTATTGTGGTGCGAGGGTTCTAGGATGAACAGGCTTCAGTAGTTTCAGCTCTTGGGCTCTAGCACACAGACTCAATAGTTGTGGAGCTTGGGCTTCCTTGCTCCGCAGGGTGTAGGATCTTCCCAGACCAGGGATTGAACCTGTGTCTCCTGCACTGCAGGTGGACTCTTTACCACTGAGCCACCAGGGAAACCCCTGGATTTCAAGTTTTGTTTTCTCCCATTCATCTTTTCAGAAATGGAGACTGAATCAGCATAAATACAGAGCAGTTATTTGTGTTTTCCGTGGAGAATACCTTGACGTCTCCAACAAACATCCGCTGTACCCCAAAGATCTCGCTGATGTTACTGCTTCATGTTTCTCTTCAAAATATGGAGGAGCTAAATATTCCCGGCTACTTTTTGAGTTACAAAGGAAAGTTTTAAACAAATTTATCCCTTCTGGCTTTGATTTGTGGTTCTGCTAACAAAAGTATCTGGTGTGACGTTAATTTTGCGTGCATACTAGCCACTTCAATCGTGTCCAACTCTTTACAACCCCATGGACCGTAGCCCGCCAGGCTCCTCTGTCCATGGGATTTTCTCAGCAAGAATACTGGAGTGGGTTGCCCTGCCCTCCTCCAGGGAATTTTCTTGACCCAGGGAATTTTCTTGACCCAGGGACTGAACCCACAACTCTAGCACTGCAGGCAGATTCCTTACTGTTGAGCCACCGGGGAAGCCCGTGACATTAATTTTAGAGGGAAGAATTTCTACTTTCAGGGGATGGTAAAATACACTTTGCATTTCATGACTCAGGAATGTCAGAATTGTGTATGTGAGTGTTTGTGGGGGTGGAAATAGTTACAAATAGTAAAATACAGAAACCAGATCTAGTTTATGGCTCTTACTGGTGGATCCCAGAAAGGGAAGAAGTATGTGTCTATTAAGAGAGAGAAACTGGGAGAGACAGAAGAAAATAGAAGGGAAAGGAGATGAGAACAGCATGCCTTCCAAGGAAGAGAAGAAAACACACAGCAGAACTGCTTTGGGGCAAATTGTGTCAGCAGGAGCAGGAAGTTGAAATACAGGACAGTCCAAAAGCAATGTGGACTTATTTATTCCTTCCACCATAAATTTTTTTCTTTGCTTTGATTTTTAAACTTAATGGGAATTCCAGAAAATTGCCTTATTCAAAGTCCCCCCATTAAGTAATATCTCCAGAATTTCAGGTCTGGTGAATGACCTTCCATTTCTCTATATACATATAACTCTCTATCCAGGAGGATTTTAATTTAATACATTATTGACATATTTACCCTCTTAGGTATTAGGCATTCTTGTTAGTAAAATAAGATAATGAAATAGTTATCTAAAAAGCAGTAGTTATTAAATATTACTAAAAAAGAAATAGTCAACATTTTTATAGCACCTCTCAGATGTTGGATACTCTGAGCACTTAAATACACTAATTTATTTAATCTCAGAACCACCCTATTACCCCTTTGCAGTATTAACTGGGGCTCAGAAAGGTTAAGTAACTTTTCCAAGATCTTTCAGCTAGGAGGTGGCTGTATATTAATTTTTTTTTCCTTTTTTATTAAAAACATTTTTTTTCCATTTATTTTTATTAGTTGGAGGCTAATTACTTTACAATATTGTAGTGGTTTTTGCCATACATTGACATGAATTAGCCATGGGATTTACATGTGTTCCCCATCATGAACCCCCCTCCCACCTCCTTCCCCATCCCATCCCTCTGGGTCATCCCAGGGAACCAGCCCCGAGCACTTGATTTAAAATATACAGGATTGGAGCTGAAGACTGTCCCAGAGTCCATGCTCTTAATTGTAATGTGAAACTCCAAAAATCATCATCAGGTGAAGAGTTAACGTACATGTATAAAATTACTATTTATACATGTCAAAAGCTTAAGAATCGGTAATTCATAATTGAGTAAAAAGAGTGGAGCTCAAAGAACCTGGGCTTTGGGGACAGACAGACCTGAGCTCTGCCTCCATGGAGCTCTGTGGACCTCAGTGCAGTACCTTAAAGTCATCTGAGGGACTTCCCTGGTGCCTCACTGGTAAGGAATCAGCCTGCCAATTCAGGAGACAAAGGTTCAACCCCTGGTCTGGGAAGATCCCACTTGACGTGGCACAACTAAGCCTGTGTGCCACAACTATGGAGCCTGTGCCCTAAAGCCTGCGAGCTGCAACCACGAGAAGCCCGGCAGCCCTCGAGCCCGTGCTCTGCAACAAGAGAAGGCCAACATATCAGAAAGGAGAGTCGTCCCCGCTGACCGCAGCGAGAAGGGCCCGTGCAGCAAAGAAGACCCAGCGCAGCCAAAAACAAATAAACACATTCTTTTTTAAGTCAGCTGGAAAAGTTTTAAAATTCCTCACGCCCAGGCTGGGCCCTAGACGGATTACATCAGAACCACTGGATGAGGAACTCAGGCATCAATGTATTTTTAAAAGCTTCTCAGGTGATTCCAATATGCAGTCAAGGTTGAGGACCATTGTTTACCTTGGAAAAATTACTTAATCTTTTCATGATTACACTTACTTCTCTATACGAAAAAGATGTGTAGCATCTGCCACAGCGCCTTTATACTAGATGTTGATGAATATATTTGACTGCCCTCACCCCACTTCACTCTAAGCAAACCATGGCAGTTCAGAATAAAGACAGCACGGGTGTCAGAGTTGTCTGGCAGGTTCCATGGGAGCAGATAAGATGTGAGGAGGTATCTGTGAATAGATAAGACTCAGAGAGGTATAACGGGTGATTTTAAGTGAAGAGACAGACCTGACAGTAGTGAGACTGAGGAAGTGACTGTTGTCCATGACAGATTGTATATACTTGGGAGAAAAAGAAGGTCTGGTCAGTGAAAGGTGTTTCCAAAGGTTGGAGATGTAGAGAATAGTATTAATACTACTAAAAGCTACAACACTGAGCATTTGGGAGCAGTGTTGGGTTGTGAGTGGCAAAATGAAAACCATTCTCCATCCAGTTGTTTGTTTCTCCATCCAATTCTCTTTTATAATTCTTCTGTGGTTTTCATTCAGAATATTCTAATTCTGATTTTGCCCTGATATACAGAGTTTGTAATCAATAATCCACTTCCTTCACATATTTGTTTGGCTCCTAATACAGTTTGATTTAGACATGGCGTTCAGTTTATCCTTCGTCAAAGAATTCCTCAAGAAAATCTTCTGAAAAAGTCTTTTTTTTTTCATAGAGATTTTGTGGGTTGTGGATGCAGTTGGAAAGGGCCTGGGATCACCTCTTTTCCATCCTTTTCTTTTAAAGTGAGGATAACTGAGACCCAAGATGCTAAATGATGGAAGTAGGATCGTGTCAATGACAGGGCTGGACCAGAATTGAAGTCTCAGAGTCTCCAAAGTGTTGATCCATTCATCATGTTAGGTTCAGTTCAGTTCAGTCGCTCAGTCATGTCCGACTCTCTGTGACCCCATGAATCGCAGCACACCAGGCCTCCCTGTCCATCACCAACTCCCGGAGTTTACTCAAACTCATGTCCATCTAGTCGGTGATGCTGTCCAGCCATCTCATCCTCTGTCGTCCCCTTCTCCTTCTGCTCCCAGTCCCTCCCAGCATCAGGGTCTTTTCCAATGAGTCAACTCTTCACATCAGGTGGCCAAAGTGTTGGAGTTTCAGCTTCAGTATCAAATTCTTCCAATGAGCACCCAGGACTGGTCTGTTTTAGGATGGACTGGTTGGATCTCCTTGCAGTCCAAGGGACTCTCAAGAGTCTTCTCCAACACCACAGTTCAAAAGCATCAATTTTTCGGTGCTCAGCTTTCTTCACAGTCCAACTCTCACATCCATACATGACCACTGGAAAAACCATAGCCTTGACCAGACGGACCTTTGTTGGCAAAGTAATGT